AGCAAAAATCTCAGATCCTCCTCGGTTTCAGCGAGCAAAAGTGTGTCATATGCATAGCACAAGTTGTTGATGAGTCTTCCTCCAACCTTGATGCTACATTCCTCCTCATAAAGCCCAGCCTCCCTAATTATCTGTTCCACATATAGATTGAAATGGTCTTGACACAGGATGCATCCCTGACACACTCTTTTTCTGATTTGGACCATGCAGTATTTCCTCGCTCTGTTCTGATACTGCTTCCTGATCCAAGTATAGGTTTTGCATGTTGTTGCTGTTGTTGTTTAGTTCCATCGAATCGTAGGTGACTGACTCATAATAACCCTATGAATGAAAGACCTGAACACTCGTATAACTTTCATCGTTTCTCTATGTTCATAGAGTTTCCAGAGACAAGCCGTTTTGAAAGTGGATGCCACTCCTGCTTCCATAAGTTTTTATATAAGCACAATTAAGTTTTCTGGGATTCCCATTCTTCTCAAGGTTAGCCAAAATTTGTTGTGAGCCACACAGTCAAATGCCTTTGCATAGTTAATGAAACAAAGATATATATTTCTCTTGTTACTCTCTGCTTTCAGCTAAGATCCATCTAACTTTGGCTATAATGTCCCTAATGCCACAACTTCTTCTAAATCCTGCTACATCATAAGACAGAGAGTAAAAAAAAAAAAAAAAAAAAAGACAGAGTGTAGAACCCATACAGTATTGTAAATAACAGAAGTATACGGAAATGCAGTCCAGAATATCAAGACTGAAATGGCAGTAATTTCCAAAGCTAGAGGGAGAGAAAAAAGCAGAGTAGAAGATATGAAAGAGAGTCAATGTTATGGAAGACAAGAACCTCAGTGGGAAGATACTAGAAAAAAAAAACCCCAAAAAAAATCCCAAAACAGAGGAGATGGAAGGAAAATTAAGAAAACATCGAAATTATGTGGGATGACATGAAAAGGAACAACACACATATGATTGAAACACCAGAACACAAAGGGCACAAGGAAAGCACTGAAAAAGTTGTTAAAGAGGTACTAGAAGAAAACTTTCCAGGTGTCATGAAAAATGAGGAAATCCACCTTCAAGAATCTCAGAGAGCCCCAACAAACTAGACTTCAAAAGAAAAACATCAAAACATATCATAGTCAAATTCTCCAAAATAAAAGATAAAGATAGAATACAAAAAGCAGTTCAAGAAAAATAGTCACCTACAAAGGATAACCAATTAGATTAACTTCTGATTTCTCAGCAGAAACTATATGAGGAGCAAGAAGGTAATGGGATTGCACATGCAGAAAGCTGAAAGAAAACAATTGCCACCTGGTGGATTCTAACCATGTGCCTTTGGTTAACAGTGCAATTCCTTACCACTAAGCCACAAGAGTTCTCTACTTCTCATTTAAGATGCTAATACCATATGTAAGTAATTAAAGAACCTTACTGGGGAGATGAGGGTGAAACTCAGAAAAGGGAGCATGAAAAATATCTTCTTATTGACTTTGAACTAATACAGGATGTTTTATAATCAGTTCAGTACTTAAAAGCTGTTCCTGCTTGATCTTTCCATTGCATTACTTGAGTGGTTTCCACACACCTGCATTTTAACCTGACTTTAGTTGAAAACCTGCTGGAGAGTCAGCTATGAGTAGGTCCTCACTGGAAGTCTGACTCACCTAGGGGTAGAGGACTGAGTGGATAAGCGTCTAGGCCTTAGGGGGCTGGAGCTAGGCATTTATGAACTCCAGCAGAGCTGGCACTGGATTACCAGTGATTTGGTCTCCAAGTGGAGAGGCAGGGTGTGAAGTGGCACCAATGACTGCTTAGCTCTGAGGAGGTTCAGGGTGTGATGTGAATAGTGGAGGGGTGTGAGGCAGCTTCTTGATTGTGAGGCCACACTACTGATTGTGTGAGCCTGTGAAGGGGCGTGGCAGGCACAAGGAAGTTAGTAGAGTAGGGGTCCTACTCACTGTGCTCTAGTCACCTGGGTTTTGGTATGTACTCTGCCAGGAACAGTGTTCTTTCAGGTTGTGTCCTGTGTGTCCCCCCGTCACCCATCCTTCTCTTGGGGTGAGTTCTCCCCTCCTGCTCCTCTCCACTCCATCCTTCCTTTGCAGTGAGTCCTCACAGCTAGCTGAGTAAGGAGACTGGAGGGGACAGGTCCATGCTGCTAAAGAAAATATCACATCTAGAACAACGGTGCCATACGTGTGCTAAACAACATAATGGCTACCATTGCAGGCAGTGTTTGGTGGAGCTTCCGGACTGATTCCAATTTGGAAGCAGAAGTGGCATCCACTTCCTAAGCTACATACCTCTGGAAATTCTATGATCTTGAAGCAACGGTGACAGTTATAGAAAGACGTCAGGCCTTTTGTTGATAGTGTCGCTATGAGTCGTGCTCAACTCGACAGCAATCAACAACAATAACCAGTGATTTCAATCTGCTGGCTACTCTGAGGGAGAAAGATAGGGAGTCTCAACCACTTGGGATCTCGATGGAGGGTTGGTAGGAGTCCAAATAAGTGGTTTTGCCCATCCTACAGATTGTACATGATTTTCAGTGTGCACAGTCTACTTCCTCTAATCCCTCTCTGTCCATCGTCTTGGATTGCCAAAGGTTGGTCTAGGAATGGGGCATCATGATCAGACTTGGGGAAGAGGTTCCCCAGGGACCACATTTTTCCTAAAAATAGTGGCCTATGCCACCATGGTTCAGGCCAGTTTTTCTCAAGAGCTTTATGGCCATCTGTAACAAAACCTAAATATTAACAGGTTTTTTTATTCTTAATTTTGGTTGCAGTATACACAACCAAATATACATCTGTTCAAAATTTTAACATGTATGAACACTGACTTTGGTTGCATATTTTGCACTGTCATCACCACCCTGTCTCATCTATGTTTTCTGTTCCCTCTTGTTGGTTTGAACTCACAAAGTTAATGCTTTATAAGAGTGCAATGTTTGCAAAGAAAACATTGTTCATTTTGCAGATGGATCATGGCATAGTTTATTATTTCATAGGACAGAAATTATTTTGGGAATAAATTCTTTGGAGTTTTCTGTCTGAATGAATTCAGCAAGTCAGATTTCCACATGAATTTAAAATTTTATTCCATTATTCTTTTTAATCAGGATCAAAATACTAATGGTAACTAGGTACCATTCATTTACTCTCATTTGATGGTAGTCGTTTTCTACTGTGGAGTTGGAATCAACCCATAGCTGACCCTCCAGTGGGTTTCTGTAGCTGTAAATCCAAAGATGGGAGGAAATGGCCCATCTTTTTTTCACTGCCGACAGATCAGAACTTCCAGAGAAGGGCAGATTAGCCTTTTGACTAGCAGCATCACACCCTAAGGACTAGCCCACCAAGAAACCACCCACCCCTGACCCCTCACCCCACTCCCACAGTGGTAGAGAAAGACAAATCTGCAGGTTTTAGTCTCCTTTCTTTTTCAGGAAAATAGCAATTCTTGAACCCTTGCTGACCACTTAAAAACTTCTAAGACAGCAGGTGCCACTACACACAGAATCAAGTAATAGAACAGAAAAGCTAAAAACAACTTTAAGCCAATTGATTGATTGATTGAATAGACCAGACAAATCTTCCACCCTAAACCTTCAAACCATGAATATGAATCCCATGAAGTGAAGCTCTACCTAAGTAATAGTTCACAGCTTTGCCTGAGTGAAATTCATCAGTGCTGTGTCATAGTGCCGCCTTTTGTCCCCTCCTATTTCTTGCTCTCCCACAATCAACTTACACTGACGTGAGAAGTCAGGCTACAGCTTCCTCAGCTGAGCTCCTCTTTGTGTTCTTTGTTTGAGCTAATAGTTTTATCCTAAAATGGCTGTGATATACCTGGTACCTGTCTCTGTGACATCCTTACTTCCCTCTCTCCGCTTCTAGACACATTTATCACCTCAGCTTCCATAAGAGGGTCTAAGGCTTAAGTCTGTGCTGGTTGTTACTAATTGTTCTGATCATTAGTTTCTTTGGCGTGTCCACTCCCTGTCTATCCAACCTCCCAAAGCCCTATTCAGATGGGTTTGCATGCCATCCAAGGAGTGGCAGTGAGGCCTGCAGTAGCATGTGGGACTTTGCACCACCAGAGCTTCCACTTCGGCTTGTGCTTGTTTTCTCTTTCATGTTTCTGAAAGACCTGAACCACCACACCAAACTTCTCTACCCGGGATCAGCAGCAGGCCCTACTATTTGCAATATTTAGATCGAGAGGATCCATCTTTCTAGAACATGGCAGGTAACTATTAACTATAAAAGTTAAACTTTCATAAATTAGAAGTTAATTAGAAATTAAATACGTTAATTTTTATAAAAAAATCCAAACAGTACTAAGTTTTGTATACCACATGGAGCACTGTCTAGAATGATCCTGCCTTGTATTTTCAATTCTTGTTCTCCAGTTTTACTCCCCCAGAATATAAGTTCCTTGACAGTTTAGACCATGCCCTCAGTGTTCTACCTTCAACTCCTACACAAATCCTTGGGACATGGTAGATGCTCAGCTGGGTTAATGAGCTCCAGGATTAATACTTAAAAAAATATAATATCATCTTTACTTTTATTTCTGTTGTGTGCGCACACACACACTCTCTCTCTCTCTCTCTCTCTTCTGTAACTTCTTTTTCTTTCAGCAATATAATGGGAGATATACCCCCTTTTCCCTGATTAACTTCCAATAACTCTTCTCACTCTTTTTTAGTTTCCAAAGACCAAATTATTATGAAAACCAGAATTTTGCAGAAATGCATGATGACATAAGTTCACAATGTGGAAAATAACTACATTGTTACATAATTGTCACATTGCATCATTACAGAACAGTGAAACCTTTGAGGATGGTGACCCCCACAAGCTGCCACATAATTTGAACCATCACAGACAGACAATGCTCTGACCTTGCTTCCTGGAAGTCTTTACTGCCAGACATACATTGGTAATGTGCAAAATAGTCAGATAAAAGATTTGTACTAATATCAGAGTTTTAAGATGTCAGAAAACAAGAAAGCTGGTAAGTGATGAGTAGGTACATTTCCACTTTAGAGCATAAAAATCCCTTTTGACCTGTACATTCTAGTGTAGATTTGAGGTTTTTAACCTAACTAGTACTAATATTTTGGGTGAGATACTTCTTTGATGTGAGACTCTTGCACCGTAGGATGTTGAATATCACCCTTGACATCTACCCTCTAGATGTCAGCAGCATGCTCCTGTCTTTCCTCTAGACTGGAAGTTGTCTCTTGGGCAGGAAAATTGTCCACCTTTAAGAAGTACTATGCTGTTCATTGTGTTTTAGTCTGCTAAACACTCACATAAAGTTCCTTTATGATATATAAGAACTTTATGTTACATATACATACATAATAATGAATCTGAGTAGTTAAAATAAAAACCTTAATCATTCACCTAACTCATAAAAATCTATAGTCACACTCATCTGAATGCTCTGAAACTCTTCGTGCCAAATTAAGAAGTAGATTTTCCTTGAGGGCTCATGCTGGAAAGTATAAGAGTTTAGCATTTTGGTCTTAGAAATTACCTAGAGCAAATTGAAGCAATTTATCTAACTATCTCTCAGAAGAAATAAGTACATGATATTACAGTCTTCTGAAAGGGGAAAATCTGGCCTGGAGATTAAGGAAGAATTCTCCAGGTTCTCTGTCAGGATCCCACCACCTAATTCAAGTTATAAGCTCTGCTTTGCATACTCTCATTGTTCAGATATTAAGTGTCATACTTTTATGGATCTAAAAGAGAAAAAACCAAACTGTGCCCTATTCTTATGAGTACCTATTATTGGTGCTTAGCCATAAGGCTAAATACTAAAGTGCACCTGATCCAAGGTATGGTATTTTCAATTTCTTTCTATACATCTAAAATTTGGGCAATGTATGAGGATTACTGAAAATGAATTTATTCCTTTACATTGTGGTGTTGGCAAAGAGTATTGAATATACTATGGAATACCAGAATCATAAACAAATCTGTCTTGGAAAAAATGTGCCCAAGGCGCTCTTTAGAGGCAAGGATAGTGGAATTTCATCTCACATACTTCGAGCATGTTAGAGGAAGGACAAGTCCTTGGAAAAATATGTCATGCTAGGAAAAATAGAGTGTCAGAGAAAGAGAAGAAGACCCTCAACATGAATTGACACACTGACTACTACAGCATATCAGGGGTTTAGATCTCTTGTTCACAGGGTTGCTGTAAGTTATAGTCACCTCAACAGCACCTAACGATAACTACAGCCTTCACAGAGCAATTAGCATAGCTTTTCTTTGCTTGTTTGTTTTTCCTTTCTTTAGAGAGTATTTCTTCCCATTTAAGAATTAGTTGTAACCATATGCCTGTGGTGCCTTCTTTACTGTGCCCTCCCTTTAATTATTGTAAAAATCTGTTATCAAATATTTGTCAATTCTGCTTTTTGCAGATAATCATTCAGTGACATTAACCATTCATCATGCTATGCTTCCATGATCCTTAGAAGTTATTCATGCTGATATTATGCAATAGGACCCACTTTTCTCTTATAAGAAAATAAAATTAGATAAGAATTTTTAAAAATTAAGTTGTTCTTTTATAGACAACTAGTTTTGTCTATTATCAGGCTCAAGAGATGATGAGCTGTGATATAACTGGATTGTCTCCTTAGGCTTCATTGTATTTGACCAAAGATAATTAGCTCAAGAGAAACACTTTCTTCTCCAAATTTAGGCAAGAAAGTGTTGCTTGTTTATGCACACCAGAACCCCAGTCCTTTAGACACGGCCTTGAAGACGGCAACTGAGGATGAGCTAAGTAAGCAGGGCTGCACAGTCACCGTGTCTTCTCTATATAACATGGACTTTGGGCCAAGGGCCTCTGGTGAGTAACGGGATCAATATACTTTAAAAAAAATTACTTTCTGGTTTTTAATTAAAACTTACAAAACCTCTAACAGTTGCAGAGAACCTAAAATTCCCCTGTCAAAAGAATCTACAGAGCCCGTCTTCACCTCACATCATCCATCCAGCCACAGTTCCCCCATCTTCACTCAAACCAGCATTACCATGTGCTATTGTCCCAGCCGCAAACAGTCTCCACCAGCAGTCAGGTGAGGTTCTCCTCTGCCCTCTTTTTACACAAAAGTAGTAGCATAGGAGGGAGCTCTGGTGGCCTAGTGGCAAGAACCTGTTCTGCAATCCTGAAGGCACATGGTTCAAGGACACCAGCTGCTCCAAGGGAGAAAGATGGGCAAGCTCATCCCCTTGTGATTAACTACCTCTGAAAACCTGTTGAAGGGTCAGCTATGGGTTGGTTCCAAATCTATGAAACACAACAAGTAATGTATTGTACTTACTGCAGCCTTGTTTACTTTTATTACTGTTGTCTGGAATTCTGTTTTATGGAGGTGACAGTTTAAGCAGCCTAAAGGGGATTTCAGGTTATTTCTAACCTTTTGCTGTAATAAAGAATAGTGACCATTTGCTCTCTTTTCCCATATAAATAAATGTGAGAGCTCTATTGGCTTAGTCCATAGAAGGTTGGGAAGCAAAGATGACGCTTCTCTGGTAGCTCAAATTCATCAACAATGCCATAGAAGCAAGATGGACAATCTCTTTCCTTGTGATTAACAGCCTAAAAAAGGCCTCTGGAGAGTCAGCTGTGATCAGTTCAATTAGACGGCAATGAGATTTTTAAAATGTGTGTGTGTGTGTGTATACACACACATACATATATATACATATACATACACACTATATATACACATATACACACATACATATATATACATATACACACACGATATATATACACATATATTTATATATACACACATATGTATGTATGTGTATATATATGCACATATATTTATATATACACACATATGTGTGTATATGTATATATACACATATATTTATATATACATACATATACATATGTAAAATGACTGTAAAGGAAATGGGCATTTATTTTAATAGATATCTAATTGCTTTCCATAAATGAGTACCTGTTTACACTCCCATCAACAATGTTTGAAAGTGCATATTTCCTCACATAGTCACCAATCCTAGTTGTTGTTGTTGTTGTTTTTGTTGTTATTTTATCGAATCTCTTGTGACACATACCAAACACATGTACAATAGCCCTAAACTTTGCTTTATCCTCTGTTAATTTTATTGTCTCTGACACACCTACCCTCATTACCCCAATCACTGAATCAAGCCATCTCATTGATGGTCTTCCTTTATTTGTCCCTCCACACTTCCAAGCATGCTGTCCTTCTCCAAGGACTGGTCCCTCCTTGTAACATGCCCAAAGTATGTCAGACAAAGCCTCAGAATCCTTGCCTCCAAGGAGTAGCCTGGTTTCACCCTCTCTAGTACAAACCTGTTTGTTCTCCTTGCAGTACATGGTATATTCAACACTCTCCTCCAGCACCACAGCTCAAAAGCATCAATTCTCTATCATCCTTAGTCGTTGTCCAGCTTTCTTACACATAGTAAGCAGTTGCAAAGACTATGGCCTGCATCAGGCGCACCTTAGTTTCCAGACTGACATAGTTGCTCTTCAGTACTTTGGAGAGGTCCCTGACAGCAGATTTTCCCAACACAATTCCTCTTTTGATTTCCTGGCTGCTGGTACTAAGAGTGTTAATTGTGAAGCCAAGCAAACTAAAGCTGTTAACAATCTCAATCTCTTCACCATCTATTATAATGCTGCCAGTTGGCACAGTGGTGAGAATCTTTGTTTCAAGGAAGATTTTGCTGAAAAGTATCCAAAAACAAGTAGAACATTACATCATCAGAGAACTGCCAGATGTGCAGACTAGGTTTAGCTGTCTCCATACCTTTTCAATTTATATGCAGAACAGATCCAGGAGCCTTGGCTCTATGAAAAGAAATGTGGCATCAGGATTGGAGGAAGACTCATCAACAATCTGCGTTATGCAGATGACACAACCCTGCTTGCTGTAAGTGAGGAAGACCTGAAGTGTTTGCTGTAGAAAGGCAAGGACAACCTTCAATATGGATTGAAGCTCAACATCAAGAAAACAAAGATTCTTATCACCAATCATTGTAACAATTTTTTTTAAATATTGCTGGCCTGACAGATGAAAAAAAATTATCTATCAGTGCAATTCTAGTTTACCCCTTCTCTCATTATTAAAAAAACAAACAAAACAAAACCAAAACCCAGTCAACTCATTGTTTTGAGTTGGAGCTGATTCATTGCTAACCCTCCAATAGATTGTCAGAGACAATGAATTCAACTAGAAGAGACTGCCCATGTTTCTTCCTTGCAGCTGCTAGTGGATTTGAACTGCCTGCCTTTGTGTTGACAGCATAGCTCTCTAAGCCACTGGAGCTCCTTCTCTCATCAGCGAAATTTAATATCTTTACATATATTTAAGAAAAAGAATTCTATTTTCCCATGAACTGTTTATATACTTGCTCTTTTTTAAATTAGATATTTAAAAAATCATCTTATAAGCTCCAAGCTCGGTACATACATACAAAGAATTGTTGGAGACACTTCATAAAAGCAGTGAAAACTAGACCGAGTGCTTATTGTAGAACAGACTGATATGCAAGTTCAAACTGAAACTAAAGAAAATTAAATCAAATCCACTGGAACCAAAATTTGTCCTTAAGTCTATTCCACCTGAATTTAAAAACCATCTCAGGAACAGATATGAGGCCTTGGACACTAATGAACAAAGACCAGATGAGTTGTGGGGGGATATAAAAAATATCATCCATAAAAAATGCAAAATGTCATTACATAGACAGAGGAAGAAGAAAAGACTGAGTTGAATTTCAGAAGAGACTTTGGATATTGCACTAGAGCATTGAGAAGCCAAAGCAAAGGGAAGAAATCAGAAAATTAAGAAGCTGAACAGAAGATTTCAAAGAGTAGCCCTGCAAGACAAAGCAAAGTACTATAACAAAATGTGCAAAGAGTTGGAGTCAGAGAATCAAAAGGGATGGACTCTCTTGGCATTTCTTAAACTGAAAGAACTGAAGAATAAATTAAAGTCTCAAGTTGCATTGTTTAAAAATGCTATGGGCTGAATATTAAATGATCCAGGAAGTATCCAGGAGTACACAGAATCGCTGTACCAAAATTGGTGGAATTTTGTAGAATTTCATGAAACAGCATATGACCAAGAGGTAATGGTGATAGAGGAGGAAGTTCAAGCTGCTCTGAAGGAAGTGGCAACAAATAAGGTCCCAGTAATTGATGGCATTCCAATTGACATATTTCAACAAATATATGCTGCCCTCAATGTGCTCAGCAAGTTGTGCCAAGAAATTTGAAGGACAGTCACTTGGCCTGCTTAGTGGAGGGAGATCCTTAGCTATTCCCATTCCAAAAAGGGTTCATCCAACAGAGTATGGTAATTATTGAACAATATAACTGATATCACAGACAAGCATAATCTTGCTGAAGATTATCCAAAAACAACTGGAACAATACATTCACAGAGAACTACCAGAATTAAAGTCTGTGTTTAGATGAGGCTGTGTCACTAAAGATATCAATGATGGATCTTGGCTGAAAGCAGAGAGTATTAGAAGAATGTCTCTGTGTTTCCCTGATTATAGAAAGACATTAACTGTGTGGATCACAACAAATTGTGGCTGACCTGAAGAAGAATGGAAATCCCATAACACCTGATTGTGCTCATGTGAAACCTATACTTGGACCAGGAGGCAGGCGTCAGAATAGAGCGAGATAACACAACATGGTTCAATAACAGGAAGGAGTGCATCAGGGGTCTATCTTGTATTCATAACTTCAATCTATATGTGGAATAGATCATTCAGGAGGCTGGTCTTTATGAGGAGTAACTAATGTCACATCAGAATTAGATCACAAAAAAATTGTGGCTGACATTGAGTAGAACAAGAATCCCAGAACACTTGATTGTATTCATATGGAACCTTACACCTGGAACCTGGCATCAGAACAGAGCAAGGAAACATTGCATGATTCAGATTCAAGAAAGGAGCGCATCAGAGAAGTGTCTTTCTCCATATTTTTTCAATCTATATGTGGAACAGATCATTTGTGAGTCTGGGCATTATGAGAAAGAATGTGATGTCAGAATTGGATGAAGACTCATTAACAACATGCTTTATGTAGATGATACAACCTTACTTGCTGTAACTGAAGAGGACCTGAAATGTTTGCTGTAGAAAGTCAAGGACTGTAGTCTTCAATATGGATTGAAGCTCAACATCAAGAAAACCTATTCTCGCCATTGGGCCGATTGGAGATTATGAAATATATGGATATAGATAGATGATAGAGATAGAGATGATAGATAGATAGATAGATAGATAGATAGATAGATAGATAGATAGATAGATAGATAGATGATAGATAGATGATAGATAGATAGATAGATAGATAGATAGATAGATAGATAGATAGATAGATAGATATGCCATCGAGTGACCTGTGATTCATAGCAACCCTATGTACAATAGATTTGGACCTTGCCCTATCCTAAGGCAATCTCATTGTCTCTGACAGAGCTAACCCCATTTCTCCAGTCACTTAGTTAATCCATCTCATCCTGTGCTGTTCTTCCACCCTTCCAGTCCTTATCTAAGGACTGGTCCCTCCTGGCAACATGCCCAAAGTATGTTTCAAAAGTCCTAGCTTCCAGGGGGCTGCTTGATTTCACCCTCTCCAGGACAGACCTGTTTGTTCTCCTTGAAATCCATGGTATGTTCAACACTCTTCTCCAGCACCACAATTCAAAGGCATAGATTCTTCTTATATCATCATTAGTCATTGTCCAGCTCTCTGAAGCATAGTAACTGTGAAGACCATGGCCTTCAGAAGGGTGGTATTACTCTTCAGTACTCTAGAGAGGTACCTGACAGCAGACTTTACCAAGGCAATTCGTCTTTTGATTTTCTGACTGCTGGTGCCAAGAGTGTTGATTGTGGAATCAAGCAAGCTGAGTTGTTAATAATAATAATCTCTTCTCCATCTATCATGAAGCTACCGATTGTCCAGTGGTGAGAAACTTTGTTTTCTTGCTGTTGAACTTCAATCTATATTGATTTCTTGCAGCCAAAATTTCATGTCCTCCTCAGGTTCAGCAAGCAAGGTTGTGTCATCTGCACAATGCAGGTTGTTGATGAGTCTTCTTCCAATCCTCATGCCACATTCCTCCTCATAAAGTCCAGCCTCCCAAATGTTCTGTTCTGCATATAGATTGAAAGGTATGAAGATAGGATGCATCCCTGATGCATACTTTTCCTGATCCTGAACCATGCAGTGTTTCCCTGTTCTGTTCAGCCTGCTACGTCCTGGTCCAAGCTAAGTTTTGCATGAGCACAATTATATGTTCTGGGATTTTCTATTCTCCTTAAGGTTAGCCATAATTTGTTGTGATACACACAAACGCCTTTGCATAGTCAATGATACACAGATAGGCATTCCTCTGGTACTCTCTGATTTCAGCCAAGTTTTATCTCTATATGTAATTAGCCTTTTTCCCAAATTTGTGCTTGCTGTATTTTGGACTTACTCCATTTCCCTTCATGAAATATTTTCTTTTATTTACTTTATTAATCTTGTCTGCTTCTTTATTTTATTTTTTTTTTTAGAGTAATACAAAGTTTATTCTACAGCTCTGGATGAGTCCGGAAGGGTGAGGATAACAATTCTCCAGAAGGGCCTGGTTTGGTGGCACTGGAGCTCTGTTAGGCATCTTTCTGGCGGAAGGTAGAGCACCAGAGAGGGACTTGGACTTTGCCCTTGGAGTATTCTGGGTTGGGGTCCTTTGGTGGCCAGGAAGGTAGGTCCCCAGGCAGATGTGGATTCTTCTCAGGGGTTCTTTCATTAGCCAGCTCGGGCCGGGAAGAAGGGCAGAGAGCGGACGTAGGAGTCTAGACGAGAGCGGAAGAGCTCATTTTGCACAGTTTGGCCCAAAGGGCACAGAGGATTCTTCACCACCAGCTCCACATACAGCGCACTGTAGATGTGGTGCAACACATCCCGGATGGGTCCCACGCCCAAGTCTGTGTTCATGACAACTTTGATTCCAGTGGGCGTCTCATAGTAATGGAGTTTGTAACGGCTAGTTTGGAAGGCCTGAAAGCCATCTTTCATGTCCAATGGAGACATCTTGCTGACAAACGATCGGATAGAGAAGAGCATCAGCTTGTACTCCTCCTCCTTGGGTATCCCCGATTGCTTCTTGCGGTGCCACTCGCTGTAGTACAGACACACTCCATTACGGTCAAACAAATACAGATTGTGGACCGTCATCTGCAGGACGAACCTCGTTCCGGAACCGCCCTACTCAATGGGCTCCAGCGCCCAGTTTGGATACCTTCGGTCTCTTGTCTGCTTCTTTGATTGCTAGCTTTCAAGTCATAGTTATAGACCCTTGAAATTCTAAAAGAAAAAAAAAAAAGCTTCATAATTTCTTACAGTACTTGGCAGGTCCTACTTTTTTTTACACTTAAATACTTTGTTTCAAACCAATATTTGATGTGAGATATGGATCAAGTTGGTATTTATCATATTGTCTCATGACAAGTTATCAAATCTTCCCCTGTGCCCTGATCTAAAATTTCACCTTAATTGTACATTAAATTCCAGCAAATACCATCTTTTGTGCAGGAGAGGAAGACCCTCAGTGAGATGGATTGATTGAGTCACTCAGGCAATGGGGGTTGGTGTGTCAGAGACAATTTGGTTGGTACAGGAAAGAGTAGGGTTTAGGGCTCTTTTTTCAAAAAACAATAAAAAAAAAAAAAAGGAAAAAGCATTGTACATTCAATGATTTATTCATAGCAAATACCTTTTTTTTATTTTAATGAAAGTTTATAAAGGACATGGATTCCCATTCCTTCATTGTTGCATTTTCCTCCCTGTTCCCCTCCCCCCCAGGTCACCTTTTTCTTAAAAAAAAAAAGTTCTGATTGTGTACTAGGAAGGGAGTGTTTCTTTTACTTTTCAAAGAGAGGAGCGAACTAGGGGTGGGGCCCGGGCAGGGAGAGAAGTGCAGCAGTGAATGAATGGAAATCCAAA